CTGCCACTCCCCCTCATCATCGCTGTGCTCCACTTTTTATTTTGCAGACAGCTGGGGAAGAGGCCAGCATGTGTGAACTGACTGCAGGATGCCCTGCGTAGAATTTCGCGGTATAGGAGGCCTCTGGTGCTTTTTAACTCCCGTCTGTGTTGTTCTGGGTTTGTGGGTGTGTAGGGGGAAGTTAAAGAGTATAAATGGCACCCCTTCAAAGAGTTGAGTCACCTCTTTCCCTGCTCTGGGCAAGATGGCCCTTGGCCTGGTACAAGAGGGGAACTCATATGGCAGTAAGATCCCTGCTCAGAAGGAACCAATCTGCACTGGGGTAAGAAATCTAGGATAGTATCCAGCTGGACCAGAACCAGATTCTTCTGTTTGCAAGCACTGGGACATAGGGAGTGGGGTGGCCAGAGGAATAAAGGGACTGTGAAAGAGTCCTAACACTAGACTCACTGACTATAAAAGGAAAAAGGAAATAAAACATAGTGCCATGGTTAAAAGGAAAGACATGTCTATGTGCAGTATCATAGATGCTATCCAACACATACTATTAGGTGTTAAAAAAAAAAAAAAAAGGCACTGAATGGGTCAACAAGATAACTCAGCAGGTAATGGTACCTGCCACTAAGCCGACAACCTGAGTTCAATCCCTGGGCTCCATATGGTGGAAAGAGAGAGCAAGGGACTCTGACAACTTGTCCTTTTACCTCCACACATCCTCTGTGGTATGAGCACACACATGCACACACACACACACACACACACACACACACACACACACACTGATAAATAAAATGTAATGAAAAATTTAAAGTAACTGAGTAAAAGATATATCAAATCTCATTTATGCTTTGTTTTAATCTAAAACATGCATAGGACTGCAGAGATGGCTTAGAGCAGTGGTTCTCAACCTTCCTAATGCTGAAACCCTTTAATACAGTTCCTCATGTTTCGATGACCCCCAATCATAAAATTATTTCATTGCTATTTCATAGTTGTAATTTTATAGACAAGCAGTGTCTCAGTTCCTAAGACCATCAGGGGTATTTGTTTTCCAATGGATAGTTACAATCCACTATTTGAAATCTGCTGATTTACAGTTTAAGAGCACTTGTTGCTCTTTTAGAGGACCCAGATCAGTTCCAGGACCTAAATGGTGGCTCACAACCATCTGTAACTCCAACTACAGGAGATCCAACACCCTCTTCTGACCTACACAAGCACCAGGCATACATATGGTCCATCTATGTGTGACATGTGTGTCAAAGCATTAATAAACATCAAATTATTGTTAATATTATTATTATTATTATTGATTTTTTTGAGACAGGGTCTCTATGTAGTCCCGACTGTCCTCCAACTCTCACTGTAGACTAAGCTAGTCTCAAACTCACAGAGATCCCCCTGCCTCTGCCTCCTGAGTGCTAGTGTTAAAGGTGTGCACCACTATGCCTGGCAAATTATTATTATTAATGGATTTTGGAGACAGGGTTTCTCTTTGTAATAGCCTTAGCTCAGGATCATAAGATTATCTCCTACACCTCCTTGAAGAGGAAGCCAAGGACTATAGTTCCCTGTCAACCTCAAAGCATCCTCCCCTCCTAAGAGACCCTACCTTAGTTACCAGAACTCACTCAAGGGGTCAGTGAAACATCCAAATATCCAACTGGTGTGGGAAAATGGGGAGAGCAAAATCAATAAGCAGGACCATTCCCAGATTCTGCAAGAGAGGGTTTGGGCTCCCAAGTTCAGGAATAACTATTATTTTTTGGCTTTTTTGAGACAAGGTTTCACTGGGAACCCTGGCTGTCCTGGAACTCTCTTTGTAGACCAGGCTGAACTTGAACTTACAGAGATCCACCTGGCCTCTGCCTCCCAAATGCTGGGAATAATGTGTGTGCTACTACCGCCCAGCCAGGAATGATTTTAACAGGCCGTCCTTTATGGGCATGTAAGTGAGTATGGGCATTCCTCAAAAACAAAACAAAAATATAACTACCATGTAATGCAGCTATATCACCCCACAAGAGTTTGTCATAGTAGCGTAGTGACATTTACACATACATGTTTATTGCTGTGCTGTTCACATTAGCCAAGAGCTGGAAATGGCCTAGAAAATGTGATATAAGAGTTGGCAAGATGGCTCAGCTGGAAAAGCACTTGGCATGCAATTCTGACTACCTGAGATCAATCCACTGAACCGGCGTAAAAGTGTAAGGAGAGAATCAACTCCCAAAAATTGTCTTCTGTCCTCTACATGTGAGCTGTTACAGGCATATGCCTATAACCCCCAACTAATAATGTAATAAATAAAAGAAGAAAGAAAATGTCGTGACATGGTAGATCCTAAGTGATACCACATCTCTAAAACCGTAACAGAACAAACAGTAAAAGAAAAGAAAAGGGTAATGTGGCTCCTATACAGAGGAGTTTTATTTGACCATAAATAAACTCTGAAGCATATGTCATTTGCAGGAAGGGGAAGGGATTGGAGATAATCATGCTAAGCAAAATAAACCGGACTCAAAAAGATAAATATTGCACGTTTTCTCTCATATGTAGTATCTAGATTTAAATACACACATGCATAGATACAGAGACAGAGAGAGAGAGAGAGAGAGAGAGAGAGAGAGAGAGGAAATAGAACAGAGCAGGGGGAAGTGAAATTAGAAGAGAGACTGTCTTGGTTCTATTGCTGTGATAAAACACCATGGCCAAAGCAACTTCTAAAAGGAGGCATTTAATTTGGCTTATGATTTCAGAGGGTTGGAGTCCACATCTTAGTGAATGAACAGCAGAGTACTCACATCTTGACCCATAACCCAGAAAGAGAATACTAGGAGTGGCATGAGTCTTTTGAAACCTCAAAGTCACCCTGCTGCCCCAGTGAGGCACTTCCTCCAAACCTTTCCCAAGTGGTTCCCCCAACTAGGGACCAAGCGTTCAAACACATGAGTCTATGAGGGGCATTCCCCTTTAAACCACCGTGGGGACTATGAGGGGAAGAGGGTTAAAGGGAATGGAAGAAGGAAAGGAGATTAGATAATGGGGAGAGGGGATCAAATATGCATTTCCCCCCCAGGGGCTGGAGAGATGACTCACTTGTTTAGAGCACATGTTGCTCTTGCAGAGAACCTGGGTTCAATTCCCAGTACCAACATGTCAGCTCTTAACCATTTGTAACTCCAGTTCCTTCTTCTGCTCTCTGTGGGGACCAGACACACACAAGCTCATACACATAAAGTATATAAGTCCTTTTTTTTTTTTTTTTTTTTTTTTTTGTCAGAGTTTTTCTGTGTAACAGCCTGGCTGTCCTGAAACTTGCTTTGTATACCAGGCTGGCACCACCACTGCCCAACCTACATTCTTAAAGGAAATAATAGATGATATTTTAGGCTGGGCATGGTGGTATATGTTAGTACTCAGGCATCTGTACTGGCCTGCCCTTGGGGTTCTGACAGGATATGCCCTCAGCTGCAGCCACTAAGAGCACCACCTATGCATATTCACTATATTCTCTTTTAAAAGGCCCTATCCACCTCCCATCCCTCTTTATTTCTCATCCTCTCTCTCTTTTTATGATCCCTTTCCCTAATTAAAAAAAAACAAAAACAAGCAAGCAAACAAACAAACAAAAAAACCCTGTGCTTGAACCCTGTTTCATGGTCTCTTTCTCTCTTAAGCTGCTTTTCTTAAATTACAACAGTACATGCCTGTTATTCTAGTACTCAAGAATCAGAGGAAGGAGGATGGTTGCAAGTTCAAGGCCAGCCTGATCTAATGGTGAGTTCCTGGCCAACAGAGCCACTTAGCCAAATCCTCTTTCAAAAATGACGACAAGGAGACAAAGCACACAAAAATAAGTATTTAAAAAATTTAGACTTGCCAGGCAAGATGGCACACATGCCTTTGATCCCAGCACTCAGGAGGCAGAGGCAGGCGAATTTTTCAAGGCCACCCTGGTCTACAACGCTACACAGAGAAACCTTGTCTCAAAAAATAAAATAGGGAACTTTGGTTGATAAGAATCAGTAAACGGTCACAACAGCAAGAGCTGAGTTCAAGGGTCAATATCTGGGAGTAATTGGGAAAGTTTTGTGCTGACAGCTGTGTGCCTGGAGTTGAACACCATAGCCAAATCAGCTCCTGGGCTGCTTCAGGCTAATGAATCGCTGGCCAAATATACAGCAACAGATGAGCTTTGATAGCAGCAGGATCAGTGGGGGCTGAAGCTGAGCCTTGGGGCTTCTCAATAGTCAAGTCACTCAGGAAGAGAAAAAAAGAAAACCGGCTTCTGCGGAGGAAGTGCAATCTCTTTCCACAGATGAGGTTAAGTCCTCAACAGCAGATCAGGACAGCAAGGACCTAATATTGCATGAGGAGTCCTGATGACAAATGTGGACTTCAAGGCTGAATAGCTGGGGAGTAGGAAAGTAGAATTAGGACCAGAACTTCTCAGTTAAAGTCCTGGGGTCTTTCCTTGGGCTTTAGCTGCCTCCTCCCCTGTAAAACTGGTGGCGATGATAATATGCATACCTTGGGACTGAGGTTCCACTCACAGCAGCAGCAAAAACAGTAAGAGGCACATTGGAAGTTCTAATCCCTCCCTTTATTGTAGCATCATGGGTGGCCATTTTCCTGGAAATGTAGTCATGTTACTTTTGCTTTGCCATACCAGGTTTGTGAGTGAAGGACCCAGAATTTGCCTTGAAGGGAAGTTATTTAGATTTTACTTCTTCCCTACCCTGCTTCCCTGGCCTTCTCCATTTCTCAGTAGAGCCAGGCCCCTCTTCTCTTCCCTGGGACTTGGCAGAAAGGGTGACATCAGTGGGTGTTCCCTGGGAAAAGAAACTCGTAGCCGGCTGGCGCAGATCCTGGCGCCGCTTTCCTCAAATCCCCTGCCTCAGACACCAATGTGTCAGGAAACCTTTGGAGCTCCCAGCCGCTTCCCTCATCCCCAGATCTGGACCAGCAGCTGGTCCCCACCCCTCAGCTGATGCAGGGAGACTAGAGTTAGTATGGGGCGGGAAGTGGATCCCGGTTCTGGGGTTACAGGGGGAGCTGTCCAGCCCCGCAGACCCAGCTGGAAGGGAGAGTGGGCCAAGGCGCGCCAGGCGGAGCGAGGCGCGGGCGCCAGGCGCGGGTGCGGTAGTGACTCCCCCTGCAGCCCGCCCCCCACGTGGCCGCCGCGGTCCCAGCCCCTCCGAGGAAGCGGCGCGGCTTCCTGCGGTTCGGGCCGGGGATATAGGCGCCCCCGCCCGGGCCAGCTCAACTCCGCCGCTCCTCCTCGCCTTCTCGCCCAAGGCGTGATGGCCCGGTTCCTGGTGGAGCGCGCCCCGGGTGGATCGCTGCTTGTTATGATCCGCGCCGGGCGGCCAGCCCCGCTCCGCCTCCCTCTGCTGCTGTTGGTGCTGCTGCTGTTGGTGCTGCTGGGAGGTGAGCGCAGCGTCGGGGGCCCCGGTGGGAGACAAGGAAGGTCCGGGAGGGGAACCGGCCTGGGCTGCCGAGGCCAGCACAGGACCACCGTGCGAGTACCAACCGACGTGCGGAGCACCTCTGATCTGCAGATGGGCCCTGAGCACATCTCCGGGTTGGTACAGCAGGGCGCTTCCCACTTAAGAAAAGCTGGAATGCCTGCCAGGACCTGGAGGAGAGGTCTTGGGAGGTCCGGGACTGACAAGAAGGGAGGGGGCTTTGGGCCCGGGTGTAAGTGGGGCACAGCTGGTACCAGCCGCTCCCTTTCCGCACTAGGACAATCCAGTAGGGAGGGAGAGATTATTTTTCTTTATGTTCCAAAGTAGTGCTGACTTTCCAGGGTCTTGGCATCACTTTTCAGAGCTCTCCCCATATCATTTCGCCCTTCTCTCTCATGTCTTTATACAGCTGTCTCAACCTCCCCGGAGTCCCTGAATCAATCTCTTCCCGCTGAGGACAGCTTGCTGTCAAAAGGTGGGTGTCCGAATCTGTGGGAGAACGACCTAGCGGAAGGATAAAGCCAGCACAGGGGAGGGGTCATTTCATAGGGCAAGCCTAGGGCCTGTGTGTCCCCCACTAACCTCTCTGGTGTCTCTTGGGGTTCCTATGGTCTTTGCGCCTGTTATCCCACAAAGCCCAAATCCAGCTTTAAGGTGTCTTGCCCCAAATGGGTAAAAAGACCCAGACAAAGTGTATGTGGATGTGTTTGAGGGCCGGGAGAGGAAATACTGTGCACATGGAAGCCATTACAGGTTTCTAGAGCCCGGACCTCTGCTCAGACACAAGTGTTCTGCTAGGGAAATTTTCGGAGGGTTTCCCTTGTGTAAAGGCAAAGGGCTCTCTCTACTTTGGAAATACCTGGGTCAGAAGGCTTGAAGGGAGGGCCAGGGGTGTGATCACTGTGAAGCAAGCGTCTGTTCCCACAGGGAATATGGAGGAGAGCTATGAAATCAATGTCCTACCTTGCTGGTATCATTACAAGAGTCATATGGACTCTGTCAAGGACTGGTGCAACTGGACTTTGATTAGCAGGTAGGAGCTGTGTTGAAGGGCCAGCTGCTCAGGCCAGGGGTTGGGCCACTTCCTTGTGGGTGGACCTTGAGGGAATGCGGGACACCCTCTCTCTGTGCCCAACCCTTTCCTCACTCAAGTCCCCTACTGCCCCCCAGGCATTACAGCGACCTGCAGTATTGCTTGGAGTACCATGCCGACAGGTTTGGCCTGGGTTTCCCAAATCCTTTGGCAGAAAGGATCATCTTTGAGACTCACTTGATACACTTTACCAACTGCTCCCTGGTGCAGCCCACCTTCTCCGATCCCCCAGAGGACGTGCTGTTAGCCATGATCATCGCCCCGATCTGCCTCATCCCTTTCCTGGTCACTCTTGTGGTGTGGAGGAGTAAAGACAGTGATGCCCAGGCCTAAGGGGTCCCTTGCTCAGCAGTCAATCCTCTGCCGGAACCGGGAATCTCCCTCCCTACCCTCTTTTCCTCACCCTCATCTTTTCCACAGACCTTTGGATTGGTGGAAAGGGAAGCCAAGTGACATCGTCTTTAAAATAAAATTTTAAAAAATGGGGTTTTGTACACTATTCCCTTCTTAGTGCGATCTGTGTTGATGATAGTTCTATGGGGCCTCATTACCGGGAACAGCTTGAAGAATGTAGATGCCCCTGCTGTTCTGGTCATTTCACCTGCCCTCTGCCTCCACAAGAAGGCCATGTTCCTATAGTCTTTCCTCCCAGGGAGGGGCCTTTCCTGCCCCTATCCAAACCCAGCTCCAGGAAACAAGCAGGAAGAGACTCCCTTCCGGTCTGGACAGCAGCTGGGGAGTGGGGGAGGAGGGGCAAGAAATCTCTACATTGACTCCTGGAAGAAAGGCTACCCAGGAGCCCAGCTTTGCCCTTTTTTGTGCCTCAGTTTACTCTAGAGACAGGACGAAAAAATGTGGCTAGCAACAGGAAGTTATCCTTAAGGACCTTAGGATTGAGGCCCAAGGCTGTTGGGGGCTTCCTCTATAAGATTCTAAGGACCCCCCTCCCCAAGTTCCTGGCCTTCATCCCTGATCTTGGATTCAGCATGGCCACACACTGCCCCCTGGTGTCCACTAAAGCCAACAACCAGACAGCCTATGGGAAGCTCCAGGCTGAGGAACACTGGACAGTGGGGTTCTGAAACATGCTATCTCATTAACAAGCAAGTTCTTAGCTGGGCTCTTCTATAAGCTTCCTGAGAAATATGGACACATCTGCTTCTCTGCAACTCACCATTTCTGTACATGAGCATTGTTTCCCAGACAGTGAGGACCAGTTCTCACTGGGGGAACTCCCATCTCTGATCCTTCCTGAGCTACACTTGCCAGGTGCCCCCACACACATGCAAAGCAACTTCACTTTCCATGGAAACCTCTGATTATCTTTTGCAGCACTGTCAGCGACTTTAGAGGCTTCTGTTTTCCCTGTTGAAATATCTGCTTCCCTACATACTGCATGCCTATTTCCAGGCACATGCTTATCTGTTTTATAGATATCTGCCTTTGTTTCTTGGAACATACCTATATGTTGTTAAAGATATACTTCTCTCAGACCACATCTGTCACCTAAGGATTTTTGTTTTGTTTTTCAAGACAAGGTTTCTCTGTGTACCCTGGCTGTCTTGCAACTTGTTCTGTAGACCAGCCTGGCCTTGAACTCAGAGAGCCACCGGAGTCTGCCTCTCAAGTGCTGGGATTAAAGGCATGCGCCACCACAGAGCAGTAACCTAAGGATATTTTTTAGTTTTCAGCTGGGATAAATATTTGCTCTATTCCCATGAATACATATCTGTCTTTACTCGTTTTACTAATACACATCAGGGGCCTGGTAGTGTAAAACCCTGTGTGCAGCATAGTGTTGGAAAGGCAAGTTAGAGCAATTGTGGCTTCTGCTCTCAGAGGCTTTCATCCCCTGGGAAAGTTTGACATGTAAAAATAAATAAAAAACGTAGGCTGAGCAGTGGTGGCATACACCTTTAATCCCAGCACTCAGGAGGCAGAGGCAGGGGGATCTCTGAGTTTGAGGCCAGCCTGGTCTACAGAGCTAGTTCAGGACAGGCTCCAAAGGTACAGAGAAACCCTGTCTGGAAATGCCCCCCAAAAAGAAAAAAAACAAACAAACAAAAGCCCATGAATTCATTTGTGAATTACCTCTTGATGAAGTTAGACTCCTCATGATCTGAGCATCTCTCAATAATGAACACAGCAGGGGGCCAAGTCTTCAATACATAAACCTTCAGTGAAACATTTTTTAAAGGCGTTATTTATTTATTTATTATGTATATGGTCTTCTGACTGCATGCTACCAGAGGCACCAGATTCAAGGTGCTGAGCTACCATATGGTTGCCCGGAATTGAACTCAGGACCTCTGGAAGAACAGTCAGTGCTCCTAACTGCTAAGATATCTCTCTAGTTCCAGGGAAACATTTCTCATCCCAACTGGAACATGAACTCACAAAGAGGGTGACTGATGAGTTGGTTCATGGTAAGGCCTTAGGTAGAATGTATTCCCTAGAGAAGAGAGTGAAAATGAGCATGAATTGGGAAGTTACTGTAAGAATCCAGGAGTGAAGCCTGGCATGGTGGCTCACACCTTTGATCCCAGCACTCTGATCTATGTAGCAAGTCCCAGGACAGCCAAAATTACATAGTGAGAGCTTGCCTCAAGAACAAACAAACAACAAAGGCATTCACAAGTGAGAAAATAAAGATTTTGGGCTGGAGAGACGGCTCAGTGATTAAGAGCACCAACTGCTCTTCCAGAGTTTAATTTCCAGCACCCACATGGCTATTAACAACTGTCTGTAACTCCAAAATCTGACACCCTCAGACAGATAGACATACAGGTAAAACACCAATGCATATAAAATAAAAATAAATACATTTTAAAAAAGAAAAGAAAGACTTAGCCAAACTGATAAGTGGGGAAGTAGAAACTAATTATAGAGCAGGAGTTATGATTAAAATCAATGAAGAGAATCTATAGGATCAGGCATGGAGAGGGTGTGAAGGGGCGGTATTACAGGTGAGCCAGACTTTGACCTTCAGGACTGACTTAAAGAAAAGGATGCAGGGGCCCGAAGAGATATATCAGAGGTTAAGAGTGCTCACTGCTCTTGCAGATGACCAGAGTTCGATTCCCAGCACCTATGTCAAGCAACTCACAAACATTTATAACTCTAACTCCAGGGGACCCTCTTTTTGTCTCCTGCATAAATTCACACATAAGGTGTAAATAAAATAATGTCTTCTTAAAAAAGAAAGAAAGGATGTTGCCAGGTATGGCAGTTAACTTCTCTAATCTCAGCAACCGGGAGGTTGAGGCAAGAGGATCAGAAGTAAAATATCTTTGGCGACATAAAGAGCTGGGAATGCATGCAACTCTGTCTCAAATTAGAAAGGAAGAAAGGAAGGAAGGAAGGAAGAAAGAAAGAGGTAACAATGGGATGAGTTGCTATATCCTACAGAGAATCAACACTGGGGAAGGGGAAGGGGAGAAATACTATTTGGGGATTACGTTCACCTTCAACCACAATATGTGTCTGTCTATAGGAAGTATAAAAGCTTTAAAAGTTAATTGAAAATAAATGTAAAAAACTGTATTGAAAAGAAGATAGTTGAGGTCTGACTTTAGGGAAATGCCCACATTTAAAGAATGAGAGAGAGCCAGGTGGTGGTAGCATACCCCTCTAATCCCAGCAGTTGAGATGCAGAGTCAGGTGGATCTCTGAGTTCATTGCCAGCATGGTCTATAGAGTGAATTCCAGGATAGTCATCCCTACAAAAAGAAACCCTGTCTCAAGAAACCGAGAGAGAGAGAGAGAGAGAGAGAGAGAGAGAGAGAGAGAGAGAGAGCCAAGAGCAAAATGTAGTGGAACATACCTGTTAACACAGTTCTGGGAAAGCTGAGGCGGGGGAATGGAGAGTTCAAGGTCAGTCTGGCCACCTAGTAGGATCTCATGTAAAAACAAATAAGACAAATAAGGTATGGCACACATATATAATTTCACTCAGAAGGTTGAGACAGTAGGATTAAAAATTGAATGCTGGGATTAAAGGGTTGCTTGGCTAACATTATCCCCCATACACACAGGGTTTCTCTGTGTTGTAAGACAGGGACAGTTGTGGCTGTTCTAGAACTTGCTCTGTAGACCAGGCTGTCACAGAGATCTGTCTGCCTCTGCCTTCCTAGTGCTGGGATTAAAGACGTGCACCACCACTGCCACTGGCTAACATTACTTTTAAGCAGGAGTAAACTAAGCTATGGAGAAAGGGAGAGAGGTAAGATGGTAGGGATGTGCTGTAGGAAATGGGAAGAGAGGCAAGAGCGATGGCAAAGTGTTGGTCTTAAAAAAGGAAGATTGATACTTTTGAGTCCAAAAAGAAGAGGAAGGAAAAATGGAGAGAGGACCGTTTGAAGTATGGATTAAACATTATGACAGAGAAAGACCAAGGGATTCTCTGTAGGGAGCAGGAGGATAGACACGGGTGGACTATCTTGAAGAATGAGGATGACAAGGACTCAACGAAAACAGCCCGGCTTCCCCTCATTCTTTAAAGGTGCATTTCTGAGCAGTCAAATATCATCAGCCTTCTTTTCAATACATTTTTTTTTTCACTCTCATCCCTCAGAGGGGCTCATATTGCATTTCAGTTCAGAAGACTCCCAACCTTATATTTCTAGATTCAACAAGGTTCCCCCGAGAGCCCAGTAGTAAGATTACTTAGGGAGCCTGGGATTCAGTAAACACGTTCTGGTCATTTTCTCCTTCAGCAATTTTCCATAGCTCAGTAGTGGGAGTAGTGTTGGGAGAGTGAAACGATAATTCTGGTTTGGGAACTGATCAGTAGTTTGGAGTCTGAAAAGGCGAGGTTGTTGAGAGGTGAGAATGTTGGTTTTGAATCCTTGAAGAGAGCAAAGTTGCTTAGAGTGATGCAAAACACACAATATGTCCCCAAGGTTCTACAGTAAACTAAGGAGTAAAGTCAGCCTCAGTGGGAATGCAAGAGACATGGGACTGCGAGCTGAGCTTAAACGGGATGGTAATTGACACTAATGAAAAGAAGCCTCGAGATGTAGGCTCTACTTGGCGTTCTACTAACTGCGCAGTTTGCGAAGTCACTTCTTTTTTTTCTGAATTCAAACCAAAATACTTCCAAGGACCCTTCTGCATGGTGAAATTTCTTAGGGCAGTGTCAGACTGCCTGGTGACAAGGACCGCTCCCAACCCGCCGCGGGCCTCGGGAGAGGAGTCCGGAACCTTTCTGCTGCGCTATCTGCCCGGACATGCTGAGTCGGAGACCGGAAGCCCCGTGTCGGTTCCGGGTTTTCTGGGCTACTACGATGGCGATGAGTTTCGAGTGGCCGTGGCAGTACCGCTTTCCGCCCTTCTTTACGTGAGGCCCAGACCCCGAGAAGCCCCGTGTACCTTCCTCCCCTCCCCGGGGCCCAGGGCTCAGCCCTGATGATTCACCTGGGGTTCCGGGGGAGACAGTCGCCGGCCGCCTTCCGTCCATCCAACCCCTCACTTGCTCTTAATGGAGCTGCTTTTGCCCTC